ATTAATAAAAATCAGTATCCAAACAAAATCTATTGAACAAAACTAAACCGAAATTGGAAAAAAAACCTAAGTAAACCAGACTCGGTTTACTAATCTAAACATGAAACATCTTAACCTAAAAAAGTCTTAACCCTACATCTAAAGTAAACTCGTCGCCGTCAATTTCTTCTTCTTCTGCCTCGTCGTCTTTCAACAGTCACCGTTAAACCTCACCATTGTCTCTGCTATTCCACCACCATTAAGCTTTCTCATCTGTCGGCTCATTACCAACTTTCTCTTTTTCTTCTTGTCGGCTCCATCTCTACCACCACCGCTATCTTTCTCTGCCATCTGCCACACAACATCTTGTTCAAAACCTGCAAGAACCCAAACATGTTAAGTACGAAGGAATATAAGAAACAATAAGTAAATCAGTTCACTCCCATTCGTACTAACACTATTCGATTTAAAGACAAAAACTTTCAATTAGATTAAGAAGAAAAAAGAACAAACTTGCAGAATGAGGCTTCCAGACAGAGTAAATCTTCATGCTACAGCTACAAAAAAAGAACATATTAACAATCAGGTACAAGTGTGTATGTGTGTGTGTGTAGAATTAGAGACATAGGCATGTAAGATTTCAGAGAATCTAAGATTACCACGGACTCAGAGAAGATTGGTGAAAAGTTGTGTTAAACAAGACCACCAGATCTGTAAACAAAAGTACTAGATTTCATTAGAAGAGATTATAAGATGAAAAAAAAACTTGAACAAAAAAGAAGGGCAAATGAAGAAACAGACCAAGGAGGAGGTAGCAGAGGTTATGGTGGTAGTGGCGGCCGAGGAGGTGATGTGATGGTGTTTGGGACAGATTAACAACATGGTGATTGACGTAGAAGTAATGGCGGAGGATGTGAGGGGTGATGGTGGTTTGTGTTTGTAGAATTATAGGAGGAGGATTGTTAAGGTGGAGAAAGGATAAATGAGAAAAAATTAAGTTTCAGAAGAGAGAAGAGGAGAAAGAAAGCTTGAGAGGTGGGATAGAATCGTGAGAGGAGAGAGATGTGAGAGTGAGAGAAAAGAGATATCCTTGTCTTAAAGTATTGACTAATAAGAAACAAGTATAACCAAAAGTTTTATTTGTAACCTTTTAGATTAAAGTGTCAATCAATGGCTAAGATGAATTATTTCATTTAACACTTATTTTAGTAATTGTGATTATATTTTTGACTAATTTTTAATATAAAAATCAGTTTATTCGTTACATATAAAATAATGATATAAAATTAACAAAATAATTTGATTTCATTTTTTTATAAACGGTTTTCAATTTAAAGAAAATTAATAATATAATAGTAACAAAATAATTAGTGAGTTGAGGGTTTGGAGTATAGTGTTTTAGGTTTAGATTTAAGATTTAATATTAGAACTTTAGATTAAATTTAAGATTTTAAATTAAACAATAAAGATATTAGAGTTAAGATATTAGGTAGAGAGTATGGTATATGATTACTTTGGGGTATGAAGTTTGAAAATATTAGATTTATGACTTTATATGTAGGTTTAAGTTAGGGGTTTAGGGTAAAAAAAAGAAAAAACTAACTTAAAGTGGTTTTATGTATCCAAATTATATAGTCTATACTATTGTTTATAAATTTCTACAAATGTTCATTTTGAAATTTATTATAAGTGTTGGATGTTGGAATTTAGGGTGTATTTAGGGTTTGGAGGTAAGATTTAAAACTAAGTATTTCGTTTGAATTTATAATATACTTGGAGTTTAATTTTAAAATTTATATTATAAGTTTGAAAATATTATTTTCTGCAGCAAACACATTGGTTTTCTTTGCATTCTTGGTATCCATTTTTTAGTCCCGTTTCTTAAAAAGACACTACTTAGATTTGATCTGTTTTTGATCTTTTAATGACAATTTCAGTGTGGTGATTTTTTTTCTTGCAGTCACCATGTTCTACACGAGGCTGAAAGATCACTCCACAATACCCTATATATGTGTTCTCTCCCAAACAGTGAATAACAGTATGGTGTTGCTCGGTCGGAGGTGGATGGCCAGAGATCATGATGGCAAAGGAAGTAGATGAGCTTGCAAGGAAAATTGCTGGCCAAAATTCGCATGCCATTGAAGCTTTCTCATTGGGCTCTAGTGGCCATGTTCAATAGATTGTGTTTTGGATTTGGATTGCAAATATTTAAATAATAGAAAACAAGTTAAAGAATTAATTATCTAATTTCATCAAGATTTTGTTTACGACATTTTTGTTTATCATAATTTTGTAGGAATTTGTCACAAACATTTAGTTTCTCTATCGTCATAAATAGAGACGTATGACTTAGTCACATATTCGCTACTATGGTGACAATATACATAGTCACAACTATGTCACATTTTGAGAAGTATGACTTAGTCACCTATTCGTTACTGTGGTGACAATATACATAGTCACAACTATGTCACATTTCGTGTCTCATTTTTTTCCGTAATATTATGTCACTAAATGTGACAAAATTTGGCTACTACAAAACTGGTCACAAAATTGTGACCCAGTAGCTACTCTTTTTCGGCATAAAATATTAGTCATAAATTAGTTTCTATTACGTCACATTTTTGTGACTTAAATTTTTAGTCTCAAAAATTTGTAACAATATATCATTTTTCTTGTAGTGAAATATTGAGTATATAAAACCAATAACTTGTATAAAATCTAAATTTGTTAGACATAAAAAATTCGCATAACAAAACAATCCACAATTCGTAATAAAAATGATAAATTAACAAATTTAAAATATATGATGATAAAGGTGAAAATCTATAGTATTTCTTGGTAGATTTAGAAAATGATTTAATAATAAAGGAAAAGACAAAAAAATACTTAAAGTTAAGCTTATTAATTAGTTTAATAGCATAGACTTGTAAGTAAATAAATCTAGAGAATTTATCTACTCTCAGCGTCCACGTCTGTATATTTCTGGATCTCACAAAAAAAAATAGTGTAGATAAAGAATCAAACTCATGTTATATATTTTTCAAACAAAGTCTTAACCACCAGACTATTATGGATACTTGACATATTTTACGAATAGTAAACTATAATATCTAATTTGTTAATAAATAAAATCTTTAAAATATGTCCCGTTTAATCTCCGCATGATCTCCAATTAATCATTAATTTGCTAAGTCTTCATCATCCGCCGAACTAATGCCTAGCCTTATTCTGAACATCATGGCTTCAAACTAATCAAAACATATAATGATTGTTTGTGTTCTCATGAATCAGTTTCTCTAAATCTACCTCTATATCTCCCTTTTTACTCCGCTAATTTATAATGGACCATATTCATAACATCTCATAGATTTCTTTTAATATATACTCTGTTTAAAAAGAAAAACCATTCATCTCTGATTCTCTCATCGATTTTTTTTCCAGTCAAAATTGATTACATCTTCTCAAAAATGACTTCATCTTCAGCTCCAGTTACTAAGGTCTTGATTGGTAGAACATTAACACACACATTATGCTCTTTATTATCCAATCAACATTTATGAGAAGAGCATTTAAAAAATATGGACATAGTAAATATGTGATGTTAACTTAAATGTAATGTCACGCTTAAATTATATAACTACTCAAACCAATAAATAGATTATGAAGATATAATAAATTTACACGTAAAAAAATCTATAAAGTTTAATCAATATATAATATTATGAAATAAATATAGTTTATTTATATAATTTTTTATTAAGGAATGGGTTAGCCACAAAAATAATTTTATCATGTCAATAAATAACAAACCAGCATCCCAAGCTATCACCATCTATGATAGCACACCTTGAGAATTAAATGTATTATTCCACTGTTCGTAAAAATAGATAACTGTTTTTTCAAATAAAAAAGTTGAAATTTTTTTGGATAGCATTTTTCTCACATAAATCCAAATAAACAAGATACATGAATAACAGAATTATAGATAAATTTCAAATAACTCTTTAATCAGCTTGCTCACTATCCTAAATATATTATTTGATATCAATTTTCAAATTCGTGTGATTTATTATATTTTTATAATTGGTCAAATTGTGTATATATATATATATATTAAAATGGTAAAAATATATTTTAATTAAGATATATGAAAACAACCGTACATAACTCCAAAAAATCCCAATTGTGAATCTTTTTAGTTAACTTATATTGAAAGTATTTTAATATTTTGTGATAAAATTTAATATAACAAAATTACTCTTAATAGAGTACTAAATTTGAACTCTTATCTCAATAACATGCTATATAAATAATAGTCATAAATATTAGTCATATATTGTCATTACAAAGAAAAATATTGAAAATTATAAAACCAATAAATTGTATAAAATATATATTAGTCAAACAAAGAAATCCGTGTAAAAAATCCACAATTTGTAATGAAATATTAAATTAAAAAAATTAAATTATATGATAGTAAAAAGTAAATATCTAGTCTTTCTTAATCAATTTAAGAAATAATTTAATAATAATAGAAAAGACAAAAAAATATTTAAAGTTAAGTTCATTAGTTAATTTAATGGCATAGACTTGTCAATAAATAAATTGATAGAAGAGAAGACTTCTTTTCTGATTAAGAAAAGTCTTTTTTTACTAAAACAAAAATATTTTGTTTATTAGTTAAACATAGAACAGTCGAAATCGTGCATTTAAATTATGTATATACAAAGGAAATAATATATAGTAAGTAACAAGTTATGCAAATAATATTTTATGGCTCGTGAATATATAAATATATCTCGACTTTGTCATAAAATTTTACAAGTCTTTTTCTATAAAACCAAGAAGTCTTTTTTTTTATCAAACCAAAAAGTCTTTTTGATTAATTAAACCGGAAAAGTCGTACATAACGAAACTATCGCGAAATCGTAGTTTAGTTATGTTTATATCGATTCATTGCTATATATATGTACACATTTGGATGCCCTCCCACACTCATCTTGGAATTACTCAATTATCATAAGCAAAACGAAACAAAACCATCAATGGAAATAAACAAGTTCAGGAAAAACATTCCACCATCGTTCGGGGAACGCGTAACCATCCTTAGCATCGACGGTGGCGGAGTTCGAGGAGTCATCCCTGGAGTCATCCTTGCTTACCTCGAAGAACAACTTCAGGTGATACATAAGACTATATATATATATGCATATGCACCAAGTGTCGTTAACTCAAATGAAGAAAGAAACTCCCAAAACAAAGCCTAGATATCATAGGATTGACTGACACTTGATATGGGATCATATAACATGCTATAGACCATACAACATAAGACTATGGCATCAAATTATTGATTTTTGGTTTGTAACATTTTTTATTTTTATCTATTTTTGCTTCTATTTTTATCATCTTGAAACAATTTGGTTCTTAATATTGAACTCATCATTGTGTTCATGATTTTGATATGTGTGGGATGTTGTAAATTAACAGGCTATCGATGGAAAAGACGCGAGGATAGCGCACTACTTTGACGTGATAGCTGGAACCAGCACCGGTGGCCTTGTAACGGCCATGTTGACTGCACCAAAAAACAAGGATTCTGCTCGGCCTCTTTTTGATGCCAAAGATATTGTTCCCTTT